TTGCAAATGTTTATATCTCAGCTTTATGAATGACACATACGATTCAGTGTTTGTTTTCTGTGTATTGCCGTAATTCTGACATATCGCCACTAGAGTTGGTATCATGTTCATCTCGTCTGGTCATACATCCCAAGATATATTTGCTCAAGAACTAACATCTCACTACATGCACACACTGCACTACGGTAATGTAGGATGCAGACATCTTGCTTAACCTTTCCTGACCCATGCGTCAAACTGTGCGAAGGCAATTTCAGTTTTTGCCATGCATGAATTATGTTCCATACAGTTTTAAATGTAAAGGGAGATTTGGGCTAAAAATAATTTCTGATTAAGTTAACTTATGTTTAGAACATCTTGTCATTTGGGTTTAGATTCTGAATACTCTTAATTATGCAGTAATGGAATTTTAATCTCATGAATGTCATCTAAACCAGGCATTTTAATCAGTGATATGAATCACAGGAGTGCCAACACATTGGTTAGGACTGAGTTAGCCTGTCAATTCCTGTGTTCTTCACTGTCACTGTTAGTTGGACTCAAAGATTGCAGGATTCTCACAAGCTTACATCAAGCAATGGTCCCGTTTATCGGTAATTACCAGTTTTTTACCGGTAAAATTAGGTTTGGACCAGTAATTCATGTGACTGCCAGTCCATGTGGACCGGCAATTAAAATACCTTATAAATCTTTGTTGTTGAACAAAACATCTGCGATATTCATATAAGTATACTTTTTTCGGATGAAGTCAGCTTATCTGTTACCATCAGGGTTTCCCCTTGTCTATTTTTTAGTGCAAGGAAATAACATTTCACTTTGCTTTGAGATTAAATATATATTTGTAGCGACTTAGTTCCGAAATATTCAAACAAAAAAAGAGAAAATTGTGACTCAACTTTGTGGGAATGAAGTGTTACTTCAGAGATCGGCTTGGCTGCAGTGACCTAAATGCTGATAAGTTTAGACGACATGTATCAGACATATCAGACTGCACTTGTGGGTATCACTTTGAAGACGCAATTCACTTTTTCTATACCTGTCAAAAATACGATAATATCAGAAACACTATGTATTTCTACACACATGGGTATGATTTAAAAATGATATTACATGGCAGTAGTTTAGTTAGCAGTTCTACAAACATGACTATTCTTACATCAGTTTACGATTTTATTGTCAAAAGCAAAAGATTCAAGTAGCTTAATTTTATGCATGTAGTAATGGAAAACTGCTATGTCTTATTTCACAGACACCACTTGTATTGGCTTCATATATTTCATTTGTGCATTTAGTATGTTTATGTTTAGCACTATCTTACATATAATCTGATATATAACCAGCTGTTGTTAAGTTATTACCTGGAGTGGTATTACATACGCAAGTTTTGCTTGTTTACCGATCCAGATTTCTTTTGAAATAAAAATATGTTTAAACCACTTCAGAGATGACATCGTTGCATTGAACATGATATTGAAAGAATTAAAACAAAGTAATTTTCATCAGTTTTTAATAATATAGGTAATTTTTAGAGGACACAGTTTCAAAAGCCAGCAGTAACACTGTATCAAGTACAGTGAAACTTGAGAACCATTACAAATATAGTGGGTTTTCTACAGTTTGAGACAGCGGAATGTGGATAGAAGTAAAGTGAGGTGGTGAGGTATAATGGGGTTTTAACGTCGCGTCCAAGATTATTGCACTTATATAGCGACGTGCATGTACGTGTGTGTGTTTGTGCTTGTACTAGTCCGGACTGATGCCGATTTATAGTGCTAGCTCACTGGACTCCGAGCCGACCAGTCCTTGTTTTAGCCCCTTAATGCCGAGCACCAGGCAGGGTAGCAACAAGTACAATCTTTTAACGTCTTTTGGTATGACGCGGCCGGGGATCGAACTCCGGACCTTCCACTCTCCGGGCGGACGCTCTACCACTAGACCACGGAGGCGGTCTCGATAGAAGTAAAGACATTACCAGGAAGATGCATTATCTTAAGCAATGTTGTGAGTTTATGCGTGTAATAAGTAATATGTTTGGTATCAATTTGATCATGGCTATTATTAAAACTGTTGGTGTATTTTGGAGTGTTGTAGAATGCAGAGAGTGAGTGAGTGACTATGGTTTTACGCCGCTTTTAGCAATATTCCAGCAATATCACGGCGGGGGACACCAGAAATGGGCTTCACACATTGTACCCATGTCGGGAATCGAACCTGGGTCTTCGGCGTGACGAGCGAACGCTTTAACCACTAGGCTACCCGACCGCCCCCTAGAATGCAGAGAGCAGCAAACTTTGGGTTAGGAGGACATAGAGATACGCCCCCGGAATCCGAGAGTACATGTTTTCTTTAAATCTTTGGGATGAAAGCAAGAGTTATCCTGTCTTTGAAAGGCATTTAGGAGTGATACATAAAAGGAAGAGAATATATGGATGTCAATTTCTTTATTATGAGGAACACAACATTTCGGTGTACTGGGCTATATGCTTACTCCTTCATTGGGTGAATGAATGCGATGAGGCAGAGAGCATGTATATGCACATGTAAGGACAACAAAATTAATAAGATAACAAAAGGTGGAAAATAACAAAGGGTAGAAACTAACAAGGGAAGCCAACAGATGATTGGCGCTGATAGGTGATCTAAGCAATAGACAATGGCAGCCAACACTTTACATCAATTAGCGCTGAAGGTATGAAGTGAGTGAGTGAGTTGGGTTTAACGCCGCTTTTAACAGTATTCCAGTTATATCGCGGCGTGTCAGCTTAATATGGGAGGAAAGCCCGAAGTGATGCAGGTCTCAGACGTTTACCACTTCGGTGAAACCCACGAGCACGGGTATGGTGCTGACAAACCTAGAAACATAATCGGGGCAAACCGGGATTCGAACCCACAATCATAGGTTTCTGGCGTGGCCAAGGGGCGCAGCTCTGCACAGTGAATCGCGGCGCCTTAGACGACTGGGCCACCCGTGTCCCCTCACCTGATGAAGGAGTAAGCATATACTCCGAAACGTTGTGTTCCTCATAATAAAGAAGTTGACATTCATATATTCTCTTCCTTAAGAGTTATCCTAGTTCTTCACTATGACTGAAATATATGTATTTGAATAAATCAAAACTAAAGTTGATTTTTAAAAAAGTCTAGCTAGATTTGGAAAAAAATAATTTTAGATAGAGAAATGTTTTGTCTAGAGTTATCCGTAGCTGGAGGTTATGACAATGCCAATCTCAGAACATAGCACCAAAAGAGCCAGGGTACATTGTCTTGAACGATATACCAAGCTATTGGAGTCTGGGATAATGAGGTTTCTCTGTGTCAGTGTGTAACAGATAGATCCTGCTACTGTCTTGCCATGTGTGAATTCCGTAAGGAACGTCTTGAGAGTTGATAGTGTTGTAGTTAAATGGCTGTATCACCTGTTGCCCCTTCTGTACAGCTCCCACACAGATGGATGCAGCGCGGAGTAATGGCCCTCCCATGTCATGCTCACAATAACTACTCTACAAGGTGTTCCATGTGTGAGGCTTGTTACAGCAGTGATCCTCAAAGGGTTGTGCTGTGACTGACTAACACTTACTCAATGAAAACATGTCTTCAATATATTTTTTTTAAAATTTCTTTGAAAGAACTTTTCCTCTTCTGCTGTTTTCATATGTGGAATCAAGCAGACTAGACTTGGTTAGTTTGATCTAGTGAGTGAGTGAGTGAATATGGTTTTACGCCACTTTTAGCAATATTCCAGCAATATCACAGTGGGGGACACCAGAAATGGGCTTCACACATTGTACCCATGTTGGGAATCAAAACTGGGTCTGATGAGCAACGCTTTAACCACTAGGCTACCCGACCGCCCCTGGTTTGATCTAGACTTGCCTAGGCATTTAGTAAAAAAAAAAGGTAAAAAGAAAATACCTAAAAAATATAAATTCCACAGCCACTTGTGACTGCCCTGTGATTAGTTTATATTAAAACAGGACACGTGTGAGTGTTGAAGAGCTCCAGATAATTTTTTGAGCAATTAAGTTTTTACTCTAGGGTTTCAATTTTAATTGAGTTATAACATTTTTCATTGGGTAACCAATATGTTTTCATTCATCTGTTCATTTCTCTATTGGGTTCTTCCCAAAGTTAGTGAACAATTTAAGATATAAAAAAAATGAAATTATGTTTTAGATGTATATAACTGTTTCAAAAATTAGCTCCTTTGTAAGCATGCTGTAAAAGCTTCATTTGGGTAATTATGTGTGTTGTTTTTATACATTTGAGTTTTTTATTTAATGCATGTGTTTCTATACGAAGAATACCCCTTGCTTGGTAGATGTTAACTACCTGAATTTACTTGGTAGCTTCCATAATATAACATAAACACAGGTCAAAGAATACCCTTAAACAGATACTGAGATCTCCCAGAATGTGCCCTTCAAAGGATATCTGGGTAGATCCAGGTAGCTGCAAGAATCTACCCAGTAGATGCCAGAATCTTCTTTCAATTAATATCACCAGGTACTGAGATCTCTCAGAATCTGTCCTTCAAAGTGTATCAGGTAGATCCAGGAAATGGTAGCTTCCAGAACTGACAAAGTAGAGTCCAGAATCTTCTTTCAATGAATATCCCCAGGTTGATACTGAGATCTCTCAGAATCTGCCCTTCATGGTATATCTGGGTAGATCCAGATAGCTTCCAGAATCTATATGTACATGTGTATTTGGTTGATGCCCAAATCTGCCCTCCAAAGGCTACCCACAATTTTTATACTGAGAGATACCTGGTTGAGTGTGTGTGTTAAAAAGGGGGCATAACCCACTGTTTGTCAGTAAATTGAAACACATGTATAAGGTTAGTCGCATCATGTTATGACTGAATTCATTAAGTCTGTTTAATAACATGGAGTAAAATGCTTTTCTTGTCACAGGTTTTAGAACTGTGGTGGTGAAATAGGTATGAGTATGTCTACATTCTTTGTATACTGTATGTTTAATGATTGATTGTCATATTTCAGATACATGAGGTGGACAAAGATGGCCTCCCTGACTGGATCAACTACAACTCCTCATCCCATTCACTGATTGGTGTTCCAAGGTCACATGACACAGGGGACACCTACGTGGAGGTGACACGTCAGTGCGATGCCGATACAGCTTCCTGCCAGACTATATCCGATGTGTTCCGAATTACTGTAAAATATGCTGGTCTGGGAGCAACAGGAACACCCACACCGTTGCTATGGCAACCAACCTCTGCCGTTGACAATGCCGCCATATTGGGTGCAAGTTCGCCATCACTGTCCACTTTAAATGAGCATGGATGCGGAGATGAGGTTGTGCTGGCCAGTCTTGTCCTGTGTGTGGCCATTGACTCGCTTGACATGCAACAGAAGGTTACAATGTTGACCAACATGGCTGACTTCCTGTCCCAGCCTGTATGGAAGATGACAGTGATGCCCTCTAGTGGTCATAAACTGCGAGCAGTTGAACGAGGATTCCAGATCCTCTCAGCTGGACCAGGGCCTGGTGGGCTTTGTGATCTGGAGAAGAACGTAGAACTGTCATGGAGGTTGACCTGCTCGACGGTGAAACATATTGGAGACTTTGTGAAGGTTCTTGAGCACAACCTGAATGTAGGACGCATCGAGAATGAAGTGGGTCAGCCGGTAGTAGGATGGTATGTGGCTTCATCAGACTCGCTTCAGACCAGCAAGAAACGGAGACGGAGACAGCTACCTTACAGAACCCCAGTCCCAACTCCAGTGCTCCAGCCAGTCACACCGACAGTGGTGTACGAAACTGTCCGAGTTAGTAAAGAAATTTTAATGAGTCAGACAATTTCAAGTGAAGAATCCATGTACGCCTCACAGGTCATGACAAGACAGCAAGTGATTGTTGAAGAATCTCCTTCATTTATGCTTCCTAGCTCTCGACCAGAAGAAATACCAAGCTCCAGTCGGGTGGTACTTGATGAAATCACTCCCTCATTATCGTTCTCGACATCTTCAAAAGTTATGATGATGTCTTCCAAATATGTTGAACAAGAATCTATGATAACCAGTGGTGAATCAGACTCATTAGAGTCTAGTCAGGCTAGGGTTGTGCCTTCTTCTCGACCAATATGGATACCCCATGTCACAAGACTTCTACCAGATTCTCTTGATAGCTCCTATTCTGGTTCGGGATCTTCTTATGTAGATGCTTGGCCATCTGTTGTGGATACAGGCCCTATCACAAGGACGTATGACCTTCCGGACTACTCCTCATCTGGCATTGTGTTATCTGTAGAAACAATACCTTCAAGAAGTGTTCAAGTTGAAGCAACGCCAGCTGTGGACATGTTCTATACATCATCAGCCCTGCCTGAGGTGTTACCGATCCCGATAGTGCCAACCACCACAGATACATCGGAGGAAATGCATGTTTGGGAAACATCTGATGTCATGCATCCTAAACTGAGTGACTATGAAGCATCCTTTACCAAGGTGGCTCAGGAGGTGACATCTCCAGAGGCACTACCAATCCCTCCAGTTCAGTCCACAATATCAGAGGCACTACCGACTCCTCCAGTTCAGTCCACAATATCAGAGGCACTACCGACTCCTCCAGTTCAGTCCACAATATCAGAGACACTACCGACTCCTCCAGTTCAATCCACAAGCATATCAGAAGCACTGGGTGTTTGGGATACGCCTTATGTTGTGCAGGCTAAGGAGAGTGACTATGACTACAGCCCCTCATTTACACAGTTGTCACGGAGGATGACAACCCTTTACACATCTGACTTGGAGATGCTGATCCCCTACACCTCTTCCTCTTCTGTAATCTATTCCTACTCCTCCTCCTCCTTCTCTACATCCTCAAGTCCATACATCTTTTCATCATCTGGTCAGAACATCTATGCATCTTCATCAGAGTTTAGTGGCGACACAGCCATGTTTATCATCCCCGAACAACTGATCCCCGTGTCTTCGCATGTCATCCGGTCATCCAAGGTATCAATGGGAATGTACCCAACACAGCTCTTCGTCCCCACAACCAGAGAGATGTTTGCTTCAGTGGCTTCTGGTGATGAGTTGTCCGTCAGTTCCGTTGTTCCCTTGATGTCATCAGCATTGTATATTCCAATGGGATCAGGATCTGGGTCTGGATCTGGGTCCGGTTCTGGGGATAGTATCCCTAAGGAGTCCCTCCCTTCAAGCGGGTATGCTTCAACAACTGTTGCAGGGTCAGCTGAGGTCTCTGAGATGTCTGGTTCTGGAGTGATGGGATCTGGAGACAATGTCACACGTGCAGTAGATCATTCCACTACAGAAATGACAGGTACCATTATGTTTCTGGAGTTATTTCACCCTAGAATGACTGAGTGAGTGTGGTTTTACGATGCTTAGAGCAATTTTTTAGCAACATCACAGCGCCACCATAAATGGGCTTCTAACATTGGACCAATGTGAGGAATCAAAACTGGCCCTCAGTCTGATGAGCAAATGCTTTAACCACTTGGCTTCCCCACTGCCTTCACTATACAAAGATTAAGGTGAAGGTCCACATCCTTTATTTATCATATGACTCAATTGTTATTGAAGTCACTATACAGTTTGTTTAATCAGCATTATTTGGAAATAGATCACAAGAAATTGTGTATGGTAGCAAAGGCATCAAATGACATCACTAACTAAACAGATTTATTCAAACATAAGACCCGTGAAAATCCGGGGTAGAATAGGTGTTCAGCACCCCATGCTTGCCGTGAAAGGCGACTATGCTGGTCGTAGGAGGCGACTAACGGGATGAGGCGGTCAGACTCGCTGACTTGGTTGATACATGTCATCGTATCGATGCTCATGATGTCAATCACTGGATTGTCTGGTCCAGACTCAATTATTTACAGACCACAGTCATATAGCTGGAATATTGCTGAGTGCAGTGTTTAACAACAAATAAACAAACAAACAAACATTCAAACGTACAACCGGTTATTATAGCCCTACCTAAAAAGGCGTGGGTATATAGTTGTACCAAGGAATTCTGTTTGATTTCAATATTTGGATTTTCTGAAAAAATACAACTATTTCACATGTTCTTACTTAGAATTGTTTTTACTTAAACATTTGTGTGACCTATAACTTGAGAACTACTACATGGATTCTTTTCAAATATAAGGAACGCTTTCTATACTAATAGTAGAGGTGCAGTGCAAAGTTTGATTTGATATGTGTATTTTCTGAAAAAATATGATTTTTTTTATGTTTTAACTTAGAATGTTTGTTTTTTTACCTCAACATTTGTGCGACCTATAACTTGAAAACTACTGCTTAGATTCTTTTCCAATAGCGGGTACAGTTTCAATATCAACAGGAGCTGTTTTCATGGTTTGAACTTAGACATGTATTGGAGTCGAGGTCGGGGATATTAGTTTGCCACTTTTTGCCTTGTTTCTGTTGCATTGATATTTTGACCTGGGCTTCACCGTCACAAAGCAATCATTGTGTTATGATGTAAATATCATAAAAGTCATAATTCTAACATTTCAGAAGATTTGTGATTTGGAAACAATATCATTTATCATTTTGAATGTTTCAGAAATCAACCATGCCCCATCTGTTGTGATCCCCATGTCTGAGCCGCTAAGAGTACCTTTGGGTGTTTTCTGGGAGTTCCCTATCCCCAATGATGTTTTCTTTGACGAGGAGGATGGGGATGTGACTAACCTTGAGCTGAGCTTGACCTTCATGGACGGGCAGAGATTCCCCCCTGATTACTGGCTACAGGTGGACAAAAACAGACGTGTTCTCACAGGACTACTGCTGGTCAGTGATCTTGATGCCACGAACAATAAGATTCTTCTTGTGGGGACCGACTTGGGCGGACTGTCTGCAGAGACTGTCATACAGCTGGACTTTGAGACACCAGCAGCTATACAACAGACACATAAATATGACATTGCATTTTCGGTTGATTATGATGAATTCATGAGAGAGAAAGAATCAAACCTGAAACGACTTTTGGGTCGGATTAGCTCCTACTTTGGTGACGAGGACTCCAGCAACATTAGAGTGTTGGATCTTCGCAGAGGGTCGCTGGTTCTTTCGTGGAACAATGTGACGCTGAATGGGTTGGAGTGCAACAACCACACCATCAAGAGAACCTTCACAAAGATAATGAGGAGAGGAGAGACCATTCGTTCGACCTTCATCAAACACATGCAGCCAGAGTTTAACCCCCTGTTTGTGGAGTATGAGTTGGTGGGAGCATGTGCTAATCCTCCTGTTGTCCCAATAGTGGAGACATTTCAGACAGCTAAACCATATCAGCCTGTGTTTGTGGATCCAAGGGGACCAGAGATCTTCCCATCATCGGCGTCAGTGGTTGGAATGGCTCCAAGTGTAACTGATCATTTATATCATTCAGGTCAAGGTAGTGGACTGATGACTGAAGGAATGGGTCTGTTTTCAGACAGGATGGATGTTTCCTCTGTGTTTGGGAGTGGCGGGATGTGGACAATAGCAGTAGCTCCTCCAGGATCATCACAGAGTGCCCAGTACTTCGCTACCATCTCTCCTCAGCTTGTTTCAACAATGGCATCTTCATCAGCTTTTATCCTTCCTCCTGATTTCCGGCCAGATTTTGTCACTGATCCTGTTGACACCAGGACTGAGTCCTCAACTGATACCGATTCATCCACTTCTTCCACAACATCGTTCATGGAGATTACGACGTCCAAGAGTCGGAGACAGAAGACAACAACGGAGGAGATGACGTCATCTAGAGAGCAGAAAACGCTGCCCTGGGTGTCAGTGGAGCCCTGGACACTTCCTGCTGGGACAACAGAAGGTACGACTAGATCCTATCGTGTTATTTAGTTGAACATTTTTGTTTGTATCTAATTTGCCTTGGCTTCTTGGCATTTTGATCAGGAAATTCTGTAAAACAAGAATTCAATTATTGTGGTCAAAGTTTACTTAGACAATAATTTAACTTACAGGGGCTACAAGGTATGGCTTAGTCCTGCACCATGACTGTGGAATATATTTATTTTTATGAAAAGAAAAAATCAATCTAGAAACGCATACAAAAGCAAGTCTAGCCAGCACTAGCTAGCTCTATTCCACATACGAAATCAGCATAGGGACTTTTTATATATATATTTATTTAGAGTCATTTTATATATATATTTAGAGTCAAGAAGGATATTGTGTAATATAAGATTTCATAGACTAAATGTTAGTCTAGGTTTAGCTAAGCCAAATGAATTAATGTTGTAATTTTCACTAAACTACAATAATGATTTCGACAGTACATAGTTTAATCCACAATGTTCTTGATTTCAACAGTACATAGTTTATTCCACAATGTTCTTGATTTCAATAGTACATAGTTTATTCCGCAATGTTCTTGATTTCAACAGTACATAGTTTATTCCACTATGTTCTTGTTTTCGACAGTACATAGTTTATTCGACAATGTTCTTGTTTTCGACAGTACATAGTTTATTCGACAATGTTCTTGATTTCGACAGTACATAGTTTATTCCACAATGTTCTTGATTTCGACAGTACATAGTTTATTCCACAATGTTCTTGTTTTCGACAATACATAGTTTATTCCACAATGTTCTTGTTTTCGACAGTACATAGTTTATTCCAAAATGTTAAGTAATTTGAACAGTAGTTAGTCGAAAATTTTCAAGATTTCTAAGGTTGTTTATACCAATTTCTTCATGATTTCAACAGTAGTTTATACCAATTCTTATTTATTACATAAAATCTGAATAAGGAATCTTAAAATACATACAGTTTACCATAGCAGCACACTTTCAAACAAAAAAAGAAATCCTAATACTTAAAAACAGTGCAATCCAATATAGCTCACAGTTGCTTCCTTTTACATTGCACTTCGTAACTGTGCATCATGGTCATGGCGGTATAGGGGTTTGAATACTTGTTTGTCTTGATGTTAACCTTTCCCCGGTTGATGGTACACAACTGTTTATTTTGTTACTTGCTAGTTTGAACAAGCAAAAGCAACAAAAAAAACTGCCCGAGAACCGAATCTTTTACTTTTTTAAGCCTAAAGCTGAAAGTAGTACCAACTGTTCTCCCTGAAGGGCAAGTCATTACACTCCTACAGTGGACCACACTCCGGCGCAGTGGTGACACCACTGCCACAGGCTAATTTGCATATCACATGACCGGACTTTTCTCTCGTTTGTAAACAAACGCGCTTTTTCAGAAATCAGTATAGAACGGACTAATGCAAGTATTTGGGGGCGCTTTACATATTGTTTTGCATTATTATATAGATATGCTACTACAACTGCGACAGTGAGTTGCATGACAATATATATTTATATATAAAGTAACCGTATCGCTAGCTCTCTGTTGGGCTTCGATGACAGCACGTGGAGCTGTAAACAAAGGATAACTACGCAAAAACAAGTAGATTTTCACCTATTAGGATACTTTCTTAATGAACCGTAACCATTCTTTGACATTTGTTTATGAAAATGTGTAGACTTGTCAAACATGAAATGGATGAAAAGCGTATGCAATATTTTGAATGGACTGTGAAAGATGTGACGAATCGTCACATGGCGCAGGTACTATGCTGGGTAGGATAGTGACAGTGGAAGTCAGTTTTTGATGATGCAATCACTATAATGTTGATGCTGTGAAGGAGCTGAGTATAGACATAAGCTACAGGATACATGCTTCACACAACCAGATGTTAGAGATGCTCAGAGGTCCTGTCTTATCACTGCATCGACAGACTGTGATAGAGTCGCCACTCATTGAAGAAAAAAACTAATACCTGTACCAATTACCTCCCCTTCTATCATCATGTAACCAACTCAAGCATTCCCTGTCTAAATGAGCTTACAAACATGGCGGAATATTTATGGATAATCTGATTTTTTTTGGTCTTATTTGATGTTATCTGAAATTCGAGATATCTGCATTCTGTGTGGTATTTTTAAGAGGTGAACTTGTTGACTTTAGTTTAGACAAATGGAGGAGATTCACCACAGGATATTTTCACAGCTGAAGCTTTTTGTATACAATAAGGTCATCAAGTAGTTTTAAGGAAAATAGTTCTAAGGTAAATTACTACTTCCCTGTTCAGCAGTGACACTATCAATGCTTCCTATTGCATTCTTGTGCTGCTTTCTTAGAGGCAATGTTCCATGTCCCACGTTACCATAGTGATACTACTATCCTTCTTTAATTTCTATTAAGTAGGGGACATGGATGGGCGCATTCGTCTAAGGTGCTGCAATTTGCTTCCCAGGGTTGCGTCCATTGGGCTTGCCAGATTGTGGGTTAGAATGCCCGATTATTTTTCAAGGCTTGTCAGCACCATACCTGTCCTCATGGGTTTCACCAAAGTGGTAAACGTCTGAGACCTGCATCACTTCGGACTTCCCTCCACAATCAAGCTGACATGCCATGATATGACTGAAATACTTTTTAGCAGCAATAAATCCAACACACTCACTTACATAGTAAAGTATTTATGACGGTCCTAAAGCTATGATTGAGGGATAGACACAACCTCTAGTCTGTTAGTCCGAGACAAGTAACAATTTAGATTGCAGGAACAGACACTGCCTCTAGTCTGTTAGTCCGAGAATAGTAACAATCTCGACAGACTAGTATTTGTAAATCTAGTTATTTCACATAACAACTAGTCTGAAATGAGAAGCGGACTATTGGATATTACCAATGGCATCAACCCTGGATTGTTTTGTGAAAAGGGCTCTTGTTCATGAGAACTTATGGTAGAGTAAATGATTTCAAACAGACAGGAGGCAGTCGGGTACCCTAGTGGTTAAACTGTTCGCTCGTCACGCCAAAGACCCAGGTTCAATTCCCGACATAGGAACAATATGTGAAGCCCATTTCTGGTGTCCCCCGCCGTGATATTGCTGGAATATTGCTAAAAGCGGCGTAAAACCATACTCACTCTCACTCACTGAAACAGACATAACAAATATAAAGAAGGTATGTATAGTCCTTGTATTGGGAATAAAACTGTAGAAGATGAGTGTGAGTGAGTAGGGTTTAACGCCGCTTTTAACATTATTCCAGTTATATCACGGCGTGTCAGCTTAATGTGGGAGGAAAGCCCGAAGTGATGCAGGCCTCAGACGTTTACCACTTCGGTGAAACCCACGAGCACGGGTATGGTGCTGACAAACCTAGAAACATAATTGGGGCGAACCGGGATTCGAACCCACAATCATAGGTTTCTGGCGTGCCCAAGGGACGCAACTCTGCACAGCGAATCGCGGTGCCTTAGACGACTGGGCCACCCGTGCCCCCGTGTAGAAGATGAAAGCTGGTTTACCCCACTCAGAGTGAAGAGATGCTACTTGAAGTGTGCTTGTGAATGATTTGGTTTCATGAATTCCTTCAAGAATAGCTGGGATAGAAAAATATGTTTTTCATGTCTGCCACAGAACACTCATAAAGATGTTTAGGTGTTTTTTTTGGAGTTCATATGTGCCAACTACATGTAGAAGAATAATTTTGAGTCATCATCGAACTATGTGAATGTCATTTCAAGGCTAGGTTATATGCTGTTGTAATAATGAAACTTTGCCCCGTTCCTTTTCACTGAGATTGATAATACCCTTTTTCATTTCTGAATACCCAAATATATTTTGTGAATTAAATTTGTGCATTAAGCATATTCACAATCCTTATTCCTCACATTGATTTGTGATTTCAATCAATAAAACAATAATTGTAATTGTATTATTTTTTGTTGCAGACTTTGTTTTCATTTATCATGTTTATGAACATCTTTTCTTTTTGGTTTCAGCCACAGACCATTTTCCTTATTTGGAGAACCCTGTGGACTATATACCAGCCCATCTTGGCAAGTACTTGGAGTTCCCTATTCCACGAGGTGTGTTCTACGATCGGGAAGATGGCGACACTCGAGCATTGCAGTTGTCCTTGACCTTGCTCAATGGGCAGAAGTTACCCAAAGACTTCTGGCTGCAGCTGAATGCCAGGAAGCAGATTATTTCGGGGCTTCCACTTCTCGTTGACCTTGATATTAGCTATCATCTGATTACACTAGTTGCAACAGATTCGCAGGGACAGTCGGTGAAAGATGCCATCAAACTCTACGTAAACTCATCCTCCTTCGTCAGATTCACCCACAAGTTCATCATGACCTTCAAGATGGATTTTGCAGCCTTTATGAACGATAGGACCAATCTGAACCTCCTCTTGAAGCGTATCAGTTCCTACTTTGGTGACTCTTCACCAGAAAATATGGTGGTGATGGACGTCAGCATGGGTTCCTTGGTCTTGACCTGGAGCAACACGACTCTTAATGGCGACATCTGCAACAACAAGACCATCAACAGGCTGTACAGACGGATGGTTAGGAAAGGTAACAATATTCGACCAAGCTTCAGCCGCCACCTTAGTCCCGACTATCGGCTCCTTGATATTTCCTATGAACTGCAGGGAGCGTGTGTTTACAAGCCCACAACATTTATCTCCCCTACCACTGAGGCAAGCACCACAGGGACGGGACTGAGTATCTGGGCTCAGGTTGTCCTGCCAGTGATGATTGCCCTTCTGCTTCTGTTGCTGATCCTTCTCATCATCCTGCTTGTAAATAGGAGAAGGAAACGACAGTCTGCTTTGCAGAATTCTGAAAAACCTGTGTTTACAAATGACCGAAATCCCATAATTTTCCCCGAGGAAATGGAGGGCGACGATATGGGACTAAAACCAAAGAAACCCATAGTTTTACCCAATGACAGGAACCAGTCCGCATCACCGTCGCCAAGGACAACATATTACTTCGAGGATGAGCCTCAGTCTGATCATGGCAGTAACTATGGGACAGGAAGTCGGACAGGGTCAGGTCGTCGACATCCTAAGTCACCTCCGCCATATTACCAGCCTCATTCTGATCCACCTCCGTACCGACTTCCTCCGCCCTACCTCAATAACTCGTCAGATGTATGATGGGATATGAATGTTGCCATGGTGATTTGATGTTTGTTGAATGAATACTTACACAGACAGTCGTGTGGTCAAGATAGGTGTTTCTGGAGTTTATGATTGAACATATCCTTTATGTTACCAGGATAACTGTTGTTTATTGTGTATTGTTTGTTAAGGAATATGTTGAGTCTCTGTGACAGAGATTTGTTGTCAGTATTCGCTGTCTTGATTGGACAGCTTTCAGTCTCCAGTCTGAGGAGATGAACAAACATTAACAAGACTCGTACAATCAAGGAGAGTCGATAGGATAGTATCATCTTAGAGATTCCTCTTGGATACATTTTACATGAAACTGAAGATGCATGACGATCATTGTGTTTCTCTTATCACTGCATATCTAGTCTCAGAGGAATCCAAATTAAATCGTTGGAGATTGATGAGGGGTATATGAAATGACCCATTTGTGCCTTTAACGTCTAATCAACTGGGAGCCCAGTGCTATTGTTCTTTATATTCTTTAGATGACATTTTTGTCACCAGTCCATGAGAGTATTGTTCACTTCTTCAGTATTGTTACCTTCGTAATGAATGACTTCTATATCAGATCAGTCCATCCAACCTTGTACATTGCATATGTACAGTTATTGTGAAACCGTTATTGTTATGGTGGTACTTACTATGCACGCGACGACAGATTAACTATGGTAAGGCTTAAAAAAATTAAAAGAATCGGTTCTCAGGCAATGACTTTTGAAAACAGAGCGCAGGTGGGCAGTGTTTTTTTTCTTGTATTTGTTTTTTTAAATGGCATATAAAAAAACGTGAGGCAGACTTAATGATGAGGCGGGCGGTGCCTGAGAACCAAGACTATTATTTTTTTTAGCCTAATATGAAAGAGTCAGGTTTTATTGAACTTCTTTTGAGAAGTATGTAAGTTGCCTAGCTGACCAGTCGAATATGTATGCAGCCTTCAAAATTCAGGCTTGTCCTGTAGCCTGAGACAACTAAATTGTGCTGAAGACAAGTACAAATCAAATGGTGGTAGTCCTCTTTGGCTAGTATCATTTGAGGGCTATAACTCTGAACAAGTTCTCAGCGTTTCAATAAACATAGTAAACATTTTTATTTTGTTCAAGCACAGCTAATTACAAACTCTGGGGACCTGTGAAATAAGGTTTACTTGTCTTCTTGACCAATCTTGAAAAAACACCCAAATTTCTAGGGCTGTATACTGTATAAACACCACTGGTGTAGGAGCATCTGTAGGTATTATGAAGTAATATTGTGCCGTCGATGGATTATTAATATGTGTAATTGTTTCAGGGGCTCCTGTACACAAAGTTTTAGCTCACCTGGCGTATTTACCTCATTAAAAAGCCTATTCATGGCCATTTCTCAGCCATTTTTGTTCAGAATGAAATTGGTGTATGTGTTGGAGCTCAACATATGTTCCATTTCTTACAATACAGAGTATTTTTAATTCTGACTTAGGGCATACTTTTTTTTATTCTTTTGAAATACAGTTTGGGCTCTGTAAGATTCCCTATGATGGCTATACTAAGGAACTTAGGCATATATGGCCTGTTGTTGCCATACCTTGTTTCTACAATACATCTTTTGGATTTTAGTGTGTTTGTTCAAGTCCTTTTTGCTGAAAAAAATTGAATATCAATGCTGACAGCAACTGCATATCCAGGTGAGCTACATTGCCATGGCACTATTTGTAGTTTCAGGAGCTCATATCACAGCGTATCACCACTTTGCGTACCACAGTTGCTTTTGTACATGAGACTCCTTCAATACTACTCAAAAGACGTTCAAGAACACCTAACGTTTTCCTATGACATAAGTTAATCTGTCATGGCCATTAACTTCTTTTGAGTGGTGTATTTCATAACACAAGATCTCGCATTGCACCATGTAGGCATGTATCATGCTGTTATACACCAGTTCTTCATATGTCCATTATGATTACATATCTACCTTGTGTCAATATACACACTTTGTATTATTGCCTGGACAGTTCAGGGCAGGCACATTTTAACTTACTCAAGTATGATTTTATGCCACTTATAGCAATATTCCATCAATATCATGGTGAAAGGATGAAAAATGGGCTTCACACATTGTGCCAATGTGGGGAATTGACCATTGGCCTACGGCGTCAAGAGCAATCGCTTTAACCACTAGGCTACTCACTGCCCCTATTTCTTCAAGAGCAGCTGGTGATTAGCATGTATGGTAACATCTGATACTTATAGTGATTCCAGTGAAGCTAGTGATTTGGGCAAATGTTTATGGTCAAACAAGTGTTTCAAATGTGAATACTATTTTCAGTTTATGATTTTGTAATATTAAAATTAATATTTAAAATTAAGAATTAAAGTCAAGGGGTCCTTGTCATTACCTAGAACAGATTTCGGGTTCCAAATTAATACACAACAGAAAGCTCAAGGACACCAAGACCCCCTCGAATTCCAAGTTATTACATAGATCGTGTTCCATAAAACCTTTCCACCAAAATGATTTCAAGAGAAGAGTGCCAAGAACCAACCATCTGTATAACATTCTATGTACTAGCACGGTGCCAAAGTTGGATATTTTACTGACGTTTAACCTGTAATACTGTATATTTGATACTATTTACTTTGTACTTATTTTATTGATTGTTCAGCATGTTTATATATTTCATTACTATGAATGTGAGATTCTGTGTTTTTTCATGTTTAATAATAAGATGTTACGTATACTTCATTCACTGTCACCCTAGCCATGCTTCTACTGAAATTGCGGTTAGTTGAATTTTTTAGAATAAGTTTATCTGTCAGTCCTCTTTGTAAGTCTTATCCTCTGACAACACACAATTTGAATTTTAGGACGAACATTCTCAAAAACTGTTTGTTCATTATTTTGGGACTAATTTTACTTTTGTTGTTTTAATGTTTTTATCGTTAAAGGGGAGGTCACACCTTCATGTTAATGAGGTCATTTGTCTAGTCAACTGGCAAGGTCACATTCAGACTATGTGACTTGCATGGAAGGACATTCAGTACCTGCCTAGTCAGATGGGAAGTCTCACCTTTTATTTTATTTTATATTTAGGATTTTCTTGTTAGAAAGAGTTAGCAAGCCATCATGTCCTGACTTCTAAATCAGTACCCATGTAAATATGTACTTGCTTAAAGTGGATTTGTCTAGTCACTTCCTTGCTCAATTTGTTCACGTATCTGTTGTGTAGGTTGTAAAATATTTTGAATTCCGATTTGGGTACTTTGTGAAGTTATTCTTTATATATTTGTGGTCTAAATGAGGAACATCTTGAAGTTCAAACAAGTGTCTGCAGTTCACGGTGTAATCCTGATAAACCGATTACAGAGAATACGATATCTTAATGAAGATAGCTGAAGACTATGCGATATTCCATTAGATAATTGGGTCAATGATATGGCTACCTTTATGAACAATGTCACTAGATTGTCCTGTATTTCACTGTCATGAGACTGGGGGTGTTCTGTATGTATATATTGTGTATGTGTTGTATATTTTCTCAGGCATTTTGTTGAAATAACTTGGTTTATGGATTCTCAGAAATTTCATAACATTGTGTTTTTACCTTCCTGCCAGTTCAAGTTTTTATCCCTCAACATTATTTTTTCGGGGTCCAGCGAACAAATGATTTTTTTCCAATTATTTTCTGTAACATATTACTTTAAAAACATACAAGGCCTACCCAGCCCGGAATATGAAATTGTTGGACCTTAATGAATGAAACCACAGCAGGAAGGGAAGGGAGGTAACCCTTTGACATAACATAAAAGCACAACTATAAATTATTTTATTTCATTTATTTTCTCGAGAAGATACACTTAAGAGATTTAGTAAAAAATGAAAATAGTATTTCAAGGTTCAATATTTATTTGGTTATTTTATATTAAAAAAATCTATATCTGTAATCCAAGAACTATTTACAAATGCCTTTTTTCTATATCCCTTTATATCGTGTCACTGTCTTCCTGCTTCACCTCTGCTGCCATTGTATGTAAGAAATGACAATGATTTCCAGACAACTAATTTCAAACCAGTGTGTGTGAGTACAGATATGTAGTGGATTAATGTCGACATAGTTTATATGAAGTAATGTCGTCCTCATTATGGTTGTGGACTTTTGTCACAAATATTGATCACAATATCGGCGCTAGCTACTAACAATTGTAAGGGAACCGAGATATACGGGATCAATTCCTTATACACAACATCATAGGCCCGGGAGATATTTACATGTACCCATGATGTTATATTACCATATCACCTTCCCTGCAGAGTGAGTTGTGTGTAACGCCACTTGGGACAGTATTACAGTTATATCACTGCGTGTCAGCTTAATGTGGGAGGAAAGCCTGAAGTGATGCAGGTCTCAGACGTTTACCACTTCGGTGAAACCCACGAGCACGGGTATGGTGCTGACAAACCTAGTAACACAGTCAAGTGACAGACTTGATAGATCAAATGTTTTTGACAAGATGATAATTTAATTAGACATCAATGGGTTAGTAAAAGGTTGAAATAATTAATAATATGTATGAATTAATATTTGAGTAAACAAGGTGTTTAAACTATCAAGAGCAAAATCTAGTCTAACTTGGTGATCTGAGAAAGATCAACTGACAATATGAGCGTTGAATTGTGGAAAAATATTCAAGCATAAAATTCAAGACTCAATATCCTAAGGGACATAATGACAGTATGGCACTAAGATAGCATAGGGTCTGTGGCTGTTAAACTGAAAATTGTTACAGTCTTTATTTGTCCTACACAGGGTCTGTGCAGGGCCCACTTGCACAAAGCGATCTTAGCGCTACAATTATTGTAAGCCTATGTTAAAGTATGGGAGTTACGATCATCTAAGCGCTAAGATCGCTTTGTGCAAGTGGGCCCAGATCTTATCAGCCAGGGGTCTTGGTTCCTCTTGGATTCCACAGAAACAATAACTTACTTTCCACGGACTTCTGCAGAAGATTGTCATTTCAGAACAATGTATGTCATGACACCTCTGTTGGAACCAGCATCAGTAAATCACAGGTTTGTATACACATCATTCCACCATCAACCGTCAATACAACCGGCCACTTTGCAGTGTAGTCGTGACTATTTTTAGTCAGGTAATAACACGAGGCAGTGTATACACAAGTAAAATGAGCCCTACTTAATACATGATTTTTGTGTGAGCCCAACTGCTGCCAGATAACGAAGCAATAGTGTAGGGATTGGATGAGTCCAAATTTACTACCCGGGTACCCAATCCCCTGTTACCCGACCCTACCCAGGTACCCGCTGTAGGTTTCAAGAGTTTAGTACAAAATGTCGTATAATTGTTTGAACGGAGCCCTTACGACAATCATAGTCACCTCTTACAAGCATAGTCGCCTCTTACGACAAGCATAGTTGCCTTTTACGACAAGCATGGTTGCTGAAGACCTATTCTTCCCTGGATCTCTACTCTGGTCGAATATGGAGTGTACAAACCTGTGAAGTACTGACGATGAGTTATTCCTGATTTTCCAAACCATCTTCCATCATCCAGGGACAGTTATGGTGGACCAATGATGCTAACGACCATGTATACATCGTGCTAATTGTACAGGGCAAATGTTCTCGGGTAATCATGAAGCTATGTTAACCGATGCTGACACAAACAATTATTAGTTGATTTGTTAATGTCGCTGTATTTTACACTCAGCATATCATTATATAGTATTTAAGGATTCACTCATATATTGAAAGAATTTTTATCTATCGATATTATTTCAGTCATATATGAGAATGACTGCAAGCATAAGACACTAATACCCTCATATACCCTTCCCAGCGTCTCTGTTGATTTCAATGTGAAAACTTAAGCAAGGGAGACAACTCTGAAATTGTTCCATTGTCGTTGTGATTGTATATAATGTGAACTTGCTTGATCCTCTCCAGCAATAAAACCGTCCTACATTACAGCGTCACATTGTATATTCAATTTATGCACAACCAAATGCTGTTTATGACATCTGCAATTTCCAGGCAGTTTCTATGGTACATGGATAGTGTTAAATGCAAAGTCTGCCTTTGCCTAATATGTACATTTAAAGCACTTTGCCTAGTGAATGTGTAGCAGGGCGTGGAGTCATCCCACAGATGACATCTTTACCTTGTCAGCTTGCTGACGGGGTTAACCTCTTGGTCATGTGGACAAGGCATCCGAACTTGGATCAGAAGGTTCGTGGTTCGAATCCCATCACGGGACTCGAAAATTTTATGGCCGCTACAAATACATCATTCATCTGTGGCTCTATGGAAGTTAAAAAGGCAGCATCTGCACAAGGATCTTGCTGGTATCACGAAAGCTTAGCAACATTTAAGCAATATAGTAAAATAAGTTCCATGTTAGTATGAATAAGAATTTCATTTATACTATTCAAAGACGTTAAATAAACCAGACATACTGACAGATTAACTATCGTCATATAAAATCAGTGTTGTTTGACTTCTTTTGAGTAGTATATAATAACGTCCAGGATCACAAATGCATTCAGAGCAGCACATCAGATTTTAGGATCTCAAAAAGGAAAGGAAGTATTATCAATGAATGCTGGCCTCATACCAGCAGAAACTGATCGAAGCACCCTGAAAATATCTTTCTCTATGCTTGTACATTCTATTTGGTTCAAAGCACTTTGACAAATGGCATTAACTCGTGGTGTAGAAAAACAGGTATTTTCTTGATAAATCTCAATTTAACTCTTTTACTGACTATAGCTGTGACAGTTGGTCATAACCTCACTTGCATGTAGGTTTTCGATGTTTCTAATGTGGTGAAACCAACGAGGATGGGTATGGCGCTGACACACCAAGGATCACAATCTGGGATTGTGGATATGACCCTAAAGAACTAAGGGATGTGACACAATCAGTCCGACCACACCAGGCAACAGCCTCAAAAGTCGGCTCTTACGACAAGCATGGGAACCTGGGGACTGTAAACATGAGCAAATCCCAACTGGGGTCAAAATAAGACTTCACAAAAAATGAGAATAAATATTTTATACCTCACATGTCCACTCTTACGACAAGCATGGTAGCCTGGGCACTATAAACATGAGCAAATCCCAACTGGGGTCAAAATAAGACTTCACAAAAAATGAGAAGAAATATTTTATACCTCACATGTCCGCTCTTATGACAAGCATGGGAACCTGGGGACTGTGTTACACAAAATATACAAATATGAGACTCGAGGCCACATTGAGCTCCAAAACCACAACTCGGTCAAAAACAAGGGCAAAAGTTAGCATTGCTCACTAATACCCCCGACCCGCCTGGTGTGTCAGTAGTTTCAAATTAAATAATGGATAGGGTTAGGGTTTGAAAAAATCATTAAAAAATGGAAAATTAATAAAAACAAGTTTTTTTCTTTTGACTGCACTCCTCCATATGACACAGGTTATATGTACTAAGGTTTAGATGAATCCACTGAATAGTTTAAGAGAAATCGCGCGGACAACATTTTCGGACGGACGGACGGAACCTTGGTATATAAAGACCTGTCAAATATAAGAAATATTCCATACCTTACAAGTCAACTCTTGCAGCAAGCAAGGGAACCTGTGGACTGTGTTCTGCACAATATACAAATATGAGACCTGGGGGCCACATTCAGCTCCCCAATCCCAGCAGGGTTTAAAATAATAACTTACAAATATGAGAAGAATTATTTTATTCCTCATGTGTAATACATTCATTTCTTACAAACAAGATGATTCCATGTACATGTAGATAGGAAGACTGAGTAATTCTGATTGAGTCTAATACTAGTGAATGACTGATGAAGATTCGTAAATGGTAAGTGGAGAGATTTTAGTAATGAAAGTAACACTCTAAGATTGATAACATGGTTCAAATATTTACAGACACTGGTTCTTGGTTGATAAAATAATACATGTCGGAACTGTATTCTAGTTAGCCATCACTTGAGTTGGCATACAACCCCACCTCAAAAAAAGGATAAAAAAGGTAGGCAAAAATATACATACTTGTATTTCAGGAAACATGAACATATATGGGTGTTTTTTTGTGGGGTTTCTTTTTGGTTAATTTTAATCAATGTTGAATGTGTAGGTCAAAATAGATAGAATGACATGCCAAAACATTCTACTTTATTCAGAAATCAAACTATGAGTTTCTTTAAGGCTCTTTCCAGCTGTGATGAAATCATAAGGGTCACCAGTGATGGGACGGTCAAGTCACCTGAAACATGCGTACCTTTTGAAGGGACCTTATATCATGACAGCTTGAGCTTGAGAGCCCAGATTTCTTCCACTTTGAAGTCCATCAGCACAGGTTTGGTGCTCACACATCCAGTCGGGATAAATCGGGATTCAAACCCACTATCTATGGATCCTGACATGCTTGACGATGCTGTTTATTCCACTGGACCACCCAAGTGATTCAGGGTTCAAACCCATGATAAGCAGCAATCACATGAAATCTGGTAAACCAACAGACAAAAGCCCTTAGAAGTAAAATGTTATCTCAAAACGACGCAATACGATATCAATATTGTTTCAAGTGTTCCATTATTTGGTTATTATCTGAGTTCGAGGCTGATGTGTGGCTAAAGACTTGATGATGATCTGTCAACGTTTCAAACTCTGCAGTGGCTTGGAAGTGGGTGCAGTCTTGGAGGCCTGGGACGTCTGCTCCATGGGCGGCTGGTCACTGTTGGTTAATGGAGGTCAGTATTTAGTGAAGTGTTAAACATTCCACAGTGAAGTTCATTGTTCAGGGGAAGTCAAATAGATAAACATTTATTATCAGTCTAGGAGCTAACATGGCAGTAGCATTTGGCCAACAAATAAGTACTTAGAAATGTGTGCAAATAATCCAGGCCAATATGTGAATAATTGCATAGATTTGGTATTTCTTTAAGCTGTAGTTGCCAATATTCCAGCTGGTTTGTTTGTTTGTTTGTTGTTGTAAGCCAAACAGAGCAATTTCACAGCTCTATCACAATGTTCTGTAAATATTCAAGTCTGAGCAAGAACAATCACTGGATGATATTATATCTCCAGCATACGGTTGACATGCATCCAACCAAATGACCAAGTATGACTCAATCCAGTTTAGTCGCCTCTTACAACAAGCAACAGATCGACGGGGACCTGTTCTGACCCAAGTTGTCCCAATGGATGGCATAATTTGTAATTGAGGTATGTTAATGTTGCTGGTGTGGAAGTAAATCATTGGTAGCTAATATTTAAATGCCAAGAAATTTATTTGTTAAAATTCTTATGAATATGAGGCTTAAGTGAGTGAGCAGGGTTAAAAACCGATTCTAGCAATATTCCACCAATATCATGGCGGGGGACACCAGAAATGGGCTTCTCTTCTCACATTGCTCCCACTTTGAGAATCGGCAAGAGCCTTTAACGTGACGAAAAAACACTTTAACCACTGGGCTGCTCACTCTCTGATGAGACCCGTGAAGATTCTGGGGTAGAATAGGTCTTCACTAACCCATACTTGCTGTAAAAGGCGACTATGCTTGTCGTAAAAGGCGACTAACGGGATCGGGTAGTCAGGCTCGCTGACTTGGTTGATACATGTCATCGATCCCAATTGGGTGGATCGATGCTCATGCTGTCAATCACTGGATTGTCTTGTCCAGACTCGATTATTTACAGACTGCTGTCATATAGCTGGAATATTGCTGAGTGCGGCGTTAAACAACAAACCAACCAACCACTCTCCCATGAAGATGTTATAGTAACATAATTGACCACTTACTCATCATCGTTGAGATGTATGTACAACTCAGCCACTGCACCGGTACAATCTTCACGGCCAGCAAACTCCACGTGTCGCTTGTTGTGTATCGTCTTGATGCGATTGGTCCACATTGACAGCAGGTTCTGGCCTGAGATCAAAACGATTATGTATTTGATGATGAAAGTTTTTACAATTTAGTGTCATTTACTCATTATCTTTGATGGACTAGAAAAACAAAAAGATTAAATTAAGAAAATGGAGCAAGATGTAAGTCTTAAATTTTGATTAATATACAACCAAATGTGTTAGTGTCCAACTAATAAAGGCAAGAACGTCTCCTCTCACGGGCGTAAATACATGTTCATGTTACTGTAGAAATATTCAGCATCCCATTGATGATAGTGAAGAGGACTTCTGTTGAAGAGTTTTATATTGTGATGACGGCCCAATCTCCTTAAAATCAGATCTAAGTTCTCGCTGCCGCTGAACAAAGATCTGAGGACATCCCATTATGGGCCCCAGAACGACCTTTCATCCGACCAATCAATGCGTTAATTAAATAAAAGGATTTCATCATGATAGGTCAACACGTGGTCAAAAGTGAAGGAACTGACCGCCTGATCTGATAAAGGATTCCTCGGCCTTAAATTTCTTGGGTGGAGAAGGGTCCAGAGATTTTTCACCTTTCAGGAAATCTTGTTTTTCCCTCTCTGTCATTCTTTTCATTCTGTGACGTAATGAGAAGATGAAGATGTAAGAACCATGAACAACAGAAAACATATGTTTGAGTGAGTGAGTGAGTTGGGTTTAACACCGCTTTTTACACTATTCCAGTTATATCGTGGCGTGTCAGCTTAATGTGGGAGGAAAGCCCGAAGTGATGCAGGTCTCAGACGTTTACCACTTCGGTGAAACCCACGAGCACGGGTATGGTGCTGACAAACCTAGAAACATAATCGGGGCGAATTGGGATTCGAACCCACAATCATAGGTTTCTGGCGTGCCCAAGGGATGCAACTCTGCACAGCGAATCACCTGATATATTGTTTAATGACAAAAAATATCTAGAACCCTATGGTTACACTACAAGTCACTAATGTTTGCATTTCTTTCTGACTATGCACCCATTCTTTCTGACTATGGTTGAATAAAGCTATAACTTAAGTCAAGTTCAGTGTATGCATGACATTGTTTAATACATGTATCTAAATATGTTTTGTCAGGGCTACAGTAAAAAATTCCCAATTTGACATTTTTTACCTATCTCTTGAGACCTACAGTGGGTACCCGTGTAGGGTCAGGTAATAGGGGGTAGGGTACCCGGGTAGTAAATTTGGACTCGTCCCAGCCCTAGTCCCTACCAATGAGTGACTTGCAATTCTATGTCCACTTAATATGCAATTGCATTGGCTACTCCTGGGATTAAAGGGACACAACTGTGTGGACCTACTTGTCGTAGTCCTTCCATGAATCCTCCTGCTCGGACACCTCCATCTTTTCGTCCTTTGTGGCCGACTTCTCCAGGGCCTTCTTGGGAGATCCCTTGGCGTCATCGGACGGCTTCTTGCATTCCAGAAGACACTCCAGCACCTTCTCGTGGAATGGAGATGTCAACACATGCGCCCGCACCAACATCTCCAGCTCTGCCCACAGCTGTCGGTACTGCTCCTCCCTGAATGAGGATATCATGGGTAAAAGATGTCATGAACAGGGTAAGAGGAATGAGTGGGTCTAAAACTGCTTTAAAAAGTATTTCAGTTAAATCACAGGTTTATGTCAGAGGAAATCCTAAGTGGTGCTGGTCATTGACATTTACAGGTATGGAGCTTATAGAACAAGGGAGTGAGTGAGTATGGTTTTATGCCGCTTTTAGCAATATTCCAGCATTATCACGGCGGGGGACACCAGAAATGGGCCTCACACAATGTACCCATGTCAGGAATCAAACCCGGGTTTGCGGCATGACGAGCAAACTCTTTAACCACTCGGCCACCCGACCACCCCTGCTGTGAACAAGAAAAACAAGTATTTGTCACAGAGTGACGAAATATCCCCCGCCTGTACACCATAGTACCAAATATGAAGACAATCCAGCGATTAGTTCTTGAGATATCGCGGCAACACCGTTTTCTAACTCCAAAAGCAGATTTGCCTGCTGTGACCTTGACAATGGGGTCAAGGTCACCAAAAACGACTGGTGTCTGCGGTGTCTGTATATACACCATAGTTCCAAATATGAAGACAATCCAGTGTTTAGTTCTTGAGATATCGCGGCAACACCGTTTTCCAACTCCAAAAGCAGATTTGCCTGCTGTGACCTTTAAAATGGGATCAAGGTCACCAAAACCGACTGGTGTCTGCGGAGTCTGTATATACACCATAGTTCCAAATATGAAGACAATCCAGTGTTTAGTTCTTGAGATATCGCGGCAACACCGTTTTCCAACTCTAACAGCAGATTTGTCTGCTGTGACCTTGAAAATGGGATCAAGGTCACCAAAACCGACTGGTGTCTGCGGAGTCTGTATATACACCATAGTTCCAAATATGAAGACAATCCAGTGTTTAGTTCTTGAGATATCACGGCAACACCGTTTTCCAACTCTAAAAGCAGATTTGTCTGCTGTGACCTTTAAAATGGGATCAAGGTCACCAAAACCGACTGGTGTCTGCGGTGTCTGTATATACACCATAGTTCCAAATATGAAGACAATCCAGTGTTTAGTTCTTGAGATATCGCGGCAACACCGTTTTCCAACTCTAAAAGCAGATTTGCCTGCTGTGACCTTTAAAATGGGATCAAGGTCACCAAAACCGACTGGTGTCTGCGGAGTCTGTATATACACCATAGTTCCAAATATGAAGACAATCCAGTGTTTAGTTTTTGAGATATCGCGGCAACACCGTTTTCCAACTCTAACAGCAGATTTGTCTGCTGTGACCTTGAAAATGGGATCAAGGTCACCAAAACCGACTGGTGTCTGCGGAGTCTGTATATACACCATAGTTCCAAATATGAAGACAATCCAGTGTTTAGTTCTTGAGATATCGCGGCAACACCGTTTTCCAACTCTAAAAGCAGATTTGTCTGCTGTGACCTTTAAAATGGGATCAAGGTCACCAAAACCGACTGGTGTCTGCGGTGTCTGTATATACACCATAGTTCCAAATATGAAGACAATCCAGTGTTTAGTTCTTGAGATATCGCGGCAACAAACAGGTGGGACGTACGGACGGACGGACGGACGTACGGACGGTCGTGAATACTATATCCCCCGCTTCGCGCTTTCGCGCGGCGGGGGATAATAACAGGAAAAAATGGAACCAAACTCTAACAAACAGATCCTGTCACAACAAACTCTGCAGAGTGAGTTGAGGCTTTGAATTAAACCACTTGGCAACCTGCGCTCATGTAGTAAAAGTTTTGATAAGGGTAAAATCATGTATAACAGGGTTAATATTAACCGAAAACACCAGATAATAATTTCACCCTCTAATTTATTTTTACAATTTGTTCAACTGTGTGTTCAGCTCTCACCTCTTGGGGCCTTTCCCTCTGGACCCAAGTACGGGGAATGGTAGCGCCTCATTCTTGCTCTCCATGGCAACCACTTTGTAGATGGCCTTCTTGCACTCGAGAACGTCATCATCATTGAGCGTTGCCTGTGTGATGAGGCCCAGGAGGGGCTCCAGAGACTGGGGAAGGGAAGAATATGTTTTATACACTGCCTATGTATGTTATAACTGAAGGAATGGATTGGCCGTATCACCTTATGTGGAGGAGAGCTGAATTTGATGCAGGTCTTAGACATTTACCACTTGGTAAAAGCAACGAGCCACGGTATAGTGCCGAGAGTCCAAGGATCATTGCTGGGATGTATCTAGATTTGTAGCCATTACCAGCAGATCCTGGCACAGCTATAAGGAAGACAACTCTTCAAAATAAATTGCATCATTTTAGACAGAGCTATACGTGTCCAGAAAAGGTATTTAACAGCATAATGTCTACAGAATATTGAAGATACGAGAAAGGTATGAATATATCCAGGCTACAAGAAAGGTTGTGATATTCAGGTGTTATTCAGTAGGCACTATCCATAATAAACTCACATATTGTTCAGAAGAAATAAAAGCATGATCATAATTCTAATACCGTATTCTACATAATAAATGCAATGCTCTAATAAGCGCCCATGGAGATATTTGTTAATATATTGGCTAGTGAACAATCCCAATTAGCACCCCTTCTGTACACAAAACTTATTTATTCGTGTTTAAAACGCACTCGTGTGTTATATGCACCCTTAATTATGGGCAATTATATTCTTGAAAATATATCTGTACGCACAGAGTTTTCTTTTGTATCATTTCAGGCTGTCAGCATAAACCACGCAATTTACGATCTTCAACTCTGTTTTATTCTCACCAAAATAATATTCTAATAAGAGCCCCCTATTTCTAATTTTGAGAGCGCCCTGGGTGCTTATTACGTCGAATATGGTACTAATAATTAGTTGGTATTGAAACTAAATAAATTCAAAACCAAACGTAAACAGTATCACGCCAGGTGACAATGAGGAAATAGGAGTGAATTGTGCAGCTCATCACATAACACCATATTGTAAGTATTTTAGCTGTCAGATTATCATGGAGGAAGTGTAAGCACAAAGTGATGCAGGTTGCATATGATCACCACCTTGGGGAAACCTTGTACAAGGACAAGGATTGGAACCCACAAGCAGATCCTGGCAGCTAAGGGACACAACTCTGTGGATTTGTTTGGATTACAACATATTACTAAGGTTATTTGCTACAGCACTGTTTTGAAAGATTCTCTCTCCATGTGGGAGGGGGGAACAATTATTTTGTTAAACTTGTCAGCCGCTTAACCCCGACCAGTTTGGACATGATACTGACCGAGACCATGTTGAACATGATGGTTTCCCCAATGACCATCGGCCACACCCTGGTCAGTCTCTCCAGGTGTTGCTGGGCTGCAAGACAAACAGACAGACCATCACCATCAATCATCACGAGGACCACAGTCAAGGACATGGACAACAATCAATACTATCAAACATTGTCAGCAAGCACTATTATCCAAAATGATCAATAACGGTAAGGTGGGGTGAAATGGAGTTTAACTTCACGTTGAGATTATTGCACGTATATAGCGACATGCACGCTCTCTCCACCAGGCCACCAAGGCGGTCCATGATCAATAACTATCATGATTATAAAAAAAGTGATGATCAACATTTAGGGTGCTCATGATGGAGTGTGTGAGTTGGGTTTAATGCTGCTTTTAACAGTATTCCAGTTATATCTCGGCGTGTCAGCTGGATGTGGGAGGAAAGCCCGAAGTGATGCAGGTCTTAGACGTTTACCACTTTGGTGAAACCCACGAGCAGGGGTATGGTGCTGACTGCGAATCGCAGCGCCTTAGATGACTGGGCCACCTGTGCCCCCACTCATGATAGAGACACAGTAATACAGAGAGATTATTAGACGAGCATGTGTGTCATACTGATTTTACAAAACGAGTGTCAGAATTCTTGCATTTCCTGAGCAAGAGTGAGGGTAATACATGAATTCTTACATGATTTTCATAAAATCAGTATGACACACATGTGAGTGTAATAATATATTCATTTCTTAATCCTTTTGAGCAATTCTTTACAAAAGAGCACTGATCACAACAAACGTCTACGAAAACCACAACTGTTGAATGATTTCCATAATCTTATTCTATGATGTCGTTTCTAGTGTGACATCATTCCGACCTTAGGCCACAATAAGATTCAAATGACGTCAACAATGTTATCCGGATAACAGAAACAATACACTGTAAGCTTAAAGTAATATTTGCACTAGAGCACATACGAGTTTTATGAGCTTCGTTATTTCTAACCCCATGGGTAATACATGTAGTTACATTGCTTCTTGCACAGGTGTAGCGTAATCTGATTCTCAATATAAAACAAACAGAGATCATATGGTTATTCCTGTCTTCTCCTGGCCAAACAACTCCCTGCAGAATATATTCTTGTTACTCCATGACAACCAATTCTGTTAGTACCAAACATTATCTTCACACAGTTTTTTATCTTCATGAAGCCAGAATGACATATCATTATAAGGGTACCTCTCTCGATGGGCTTCCCGATCCTGTCTTCCAGGGTGATTGCTGTTCCCGGAGCCAGACGATTTGATTTCATGAACTCTCCAAAGTCCTGGAAGAAAAACAGCTGGTGAATAATCTGGGCATGTTAGTTGGCTTTTTGTGTACACTGAACCTGACTTTCATACAGGTTGACAGTCTACACTGCAGGAGGGAGATTCTCCAGGGCGGGTCAGATTTGATTTGAAAATGTCTGCAGTCCGGCTGTGACTGATACAGGACTCAGTTGTCTAAGTTGTGACTGCTAAGTCTTCATGGAAATGTCTGCACATGACATACTTACTAGTATCCTGTAGTCCGTCAGTTGACCTCCACTACCTTCACTGATGGAGGGAGGGTCTCCAGGATGGACCTGGCTGTAGGTATATAGTGTGATGTCTGCACATGACATACTTACTAGTATCCTGTAGTCTGTCACTCGACCTCCTCCACTGATGGAGGGGGGGTCTTCCAGGATGGACCTGGCTGTAGGTATAGTGTGATGTCTGCACATCATATACTTACAGGAATCCTGTAGTTCGTCACTCGACTTCCACTGATGGAGGGAGGGTCTTCCAGGATGGACCTGGCTGTAGGTATGGTGTGATGTCTGCAAATGATATACTTACAGGAATCCTGTAGTCCGTCACTCGACCTCCACTTCCTTCACTGATGGAGGGAGGGTCTTCCAGGATGGACCTGGCTGTAGGTATGGTGTGTATGAATATCTCGCCTCCGTGGCTGGTCAGCATGTGAGAGATCACCTTGGCGCCAGTCTTCCGGGGCTGCTCCAGCATGACGGCCCGGCCTAAACACAGGGAAACATGAGAGGATTAAATTCTACAGACAGCATCATTCATTCAATCAAAGTTTGTATTCTTGATAACTGTCATTAAATCAAGGGGATTTAAAGATGCAAGATCACATTCATATTTTGTTTTCAATGGCTATTGTGATAAATAATGAACAAAAATGTTATTTGGGGGCATATGAGCTCCCAATTCCACAACAACAAAAACCAACCCAAAATATGGATTCCTACTTTCTTTTGTTCAGTATACATTTCTCAAACACAAAGCACACACACCATCATTCACAACACGGAGTTACTGTGTGTGAAGATTTGAAACCTGTGAAGGGCCGGGGTAGAACAGGTCTTCAGCAACCCATGTTGTACTTGTTGTAAGAGGCGACTAACAGGATCGGGTGGTCAGGCTTGCTGACTTGGTTGATGCATGTGTGGATCGATGCTCATGATATCAATCACTTGACTGTCTGGTCAAGATTCGATTAGGTATCTAATCTAATCTATTACGTCGCACTCAGAAATATTCCAGCTATATGACGGCAGTCTGTAAATAATCGAGTCTGGACCAGACAATCAAGTGATTGATATCATGAGCATAGATCCACACAATTGGGAAACAATGACATGCATCAACCAAGTCAGAAAGCCTGACCAAACGTTCCCATTAGTCGCCTCTTACGATAAGCATAGTCGCCTTTTACGGCAAGCATGGGTTGCTGAAGACCTATTCTACCCCGAATCTTCATCAGGTATATTCTCAAAGACAAAGCATGCACGTCACACGTTGTGTCCAGCACCTCAGCTGCTAGGTCTCCAACTCTCAGCTGTTGTAGTTTCAGCACAGGGACATCTGGGCAACAAAACACTTACCACCAAGCAGGAAGTTGGTGAGGCAGGAAGATGGCCGACTGTTGACATCAACTGGAGTAATCCTGTGAGCTCCGACGCAGTGATGCAGCTCTGCAACAACCAACCGTACCCCAGTGTCACATCAACATGAACTGTCAGCCATTTACTTAATCAGCGAGACTAAACTTTTTAGTTTCTTGGGTTGAGTTGGGTTTAATGCTGTTTTCAACAGTATTTGAGTAATGTGACAGTGTGCCATCTGTGGGAGGAAAGTAGGGCAGATTGTGGAGTTTACATCTGGTGCAGATAGGCCAAGGACCATGATGGGCTGAAACTCAATTTGAGGCCATGACCAGTGGATCCTGGCACAGAAAAGGGACACAACTTTACAAAGCAGTGCCTCAAACCACTTGATCTCCCCTGCACCCCTTTGAACATTTTTTTTCAACATTAAAACTGCTTTCAACAATATTCCTGCGTTATCATGTTTGTGGAACAAAAAACAATCTGCATTGGTGAGTGAGTGAATTGGTTTAACGCCACTTTGAACAGCATCAACTATATCACAGTGTGTCAGCTTAATGTGACAGGAAAGCTCAAAGCAATGCAGGTCTAAGACGTTTACCACTAAGGCAAAACCATGAGGTTTGGTGCTGCTTAACCTTGAAACACAATCTGGGTCAACTGGGATTCAAACCCATGATCATATGTTTCGGGAAAGTTTGAGTTAATTGGAGATGAATGAAAACAGAAAATAGGGAGTATATTGAAAGAAGCATGTGTATAATTTAATACGATTCCACTTCTCCATGATGCTGCAGTAAAATGTCTCCACTTGGACTTGTAATGACTACATGGTGGAGCCACGCTGCTACCACCTACCTATGGTGTTGGACTTGGGTGTGCACCACTTGAGTGTGACCCTCTTAGATGGCCACGCTGCTACCACCTACCTATGGTGTTGGACTTGGGTGTGCACCACTTGAGTGTGACCCTCTTAGATGGCCACGCTGCTACCACCTACCTATGGTGTTAGACGTGGGTGTGCACCACTTGAGTGTGACCGTCTCAGTGGGACCACACTGCTACCACCTACCTATGGTGTTGGACTTGGGTGTGCACCACTTGAGTGTGACCGTCTCAGTGGGGCCACGCTGCTACCACCTACCTATGGTGTTGGACTTGGGTGTGCACCACTTGAGTGTGACCGTCTCAGTGGGGCCACGCTGCTACCACCTACCTATGGTGTTGGACTTGGGTGTGCACCACTTGAGTGTGACCGTCTCAGTGGGGCCACGCTGCTACCACCTACCTATGGTGTTGGACTTGGGTGTGCACCACTTGGGTGTGACCGTCTCAGTGGGGCCACGCTGCTACCACCTACCTATGGTGTTGGACTTGGGTGTGCACCACTTGAGTGTGACCGTCTCAGTGGGGCCACGCTGCTACCACCTACCTATGGTGTTGGACTTGGGTGTGCACCACTTGGGTGTGACCGTCTCAGTGGGGCCACGCTGCTAACACCTACCTATGGTGTTGGACTTGGGTGTGCACCACTTAAGTGTGACCGTCTCAGTGGGAAGTCCCTCCTTGGATGGAATGACCAGACCCTCCACATGGCTCACTGTGAAACAAAAGGCAAATATAACAAGCTGAATATTCTTGAAGATTATGGCAACACTTATATCAAAACTATGGCAAGTACTAACACATATAGGGGCGGTCGGGTAGCCTAGTGGTTAAAGCGTTCGCTCATTACGCCGAAGACTCGGGTTCGATTCCCGACATGGGTACAATGTGTGAAGCCCATTTCTGGTGTCCCCCGCTGCGATATTGCTGGAATATTGCTAAAAGCGGCGTAAAACCATACTCACTCACTCACTCACTCACTAACACTTATATCAAGACTATGGCATGGGATAACACTAATATCAAGACTATAGCTAGTGATAACACTGATATCAAGACTATGGCATATGTGATAACGCTGATATCAAGACTATGGCATGTGATAACGCGGATATCAAGACTATGGCATGTGATAACACTGATATCAAGACTATGGCATGTGATAACACGGATATCAAGACAGGCATGTGATAACAAGGATATCAAAACTATATATATATCCCACTGAGAATACCATATCCCAGTGGGATCCCACTGGGATGGAAATCCCACTATTATTTTCACTTGGGATGGCATGTGATAACACTGATATCAATATCATGGCATGGTGATAACACTGATACTGGAAAGCACTGTGAAAACTGTGAATAACATTAACTGGCAATAGTTTCATGACACAGTTATTTTTGCAGAGAGACAAACAAACAAGATACTAGCACGTAAGGAAGCATATTTCTTTTATTAGATTCCACACATCGTCAAAGTACATATTTAAATACATAATATCTAACATCCTGTTTTCTTAACTACACATTGTCAATCAGTGTCAATTTGATGATCAGGTAGCTTACACAACACCCAGTAGTCCAGGCATACACCCGCCACGCAAGACGGTCTCCTTGTCTTTTCACAGCTGATCAAAGGCGGCCACAGTCAAGCGAGCATGGATTGGTTTTAGAACACTAATTCATAAGTCCACGTGTGTCTCGGATTTTTCTTTCAGATTCTTGGCTACACAGTCGGCATACTACTTTGAAAATTGTTCCCTCATTGCGAGTTTCAGTTCGCCGTTGACGTAGGGATCCAATGGCCGGCAAAAACCTAATTCCAAATGTTCGCTTTCGCAATACATCTGAGAAAGATTGACATCTGTGTGCAGCAAAAACGTCAACAATTGCCAGGCATTTCTGTCGTGCTGGCAGCTTGAGCTCTTTTTTCCACTTTCTTAGTGAAGGGAACAAGCACATTTTCTGCATTATCCAGCCTGCTGTCTCCGTTACTCTAGTGATTGGCTGTGTGTGTGACATGCCAATCATCAGGAAAGTTGTAACAAGGGTGGTACTTGTGAGTCAGGCCTTGGTAAATCAGCTGGATGGGGTAGGGCAGCAGGGTTTCTTGTGAGTCAGGCCTTGGTAAATCACCTGGGTGGGGTAGGGCAGCGGGGTTTCTTGTGAGTCAGGCCTTGGTAAATCAGCTGGATGGGGTAGGGCAGCAGGGTTTCTTGTGAGTCAGGCCTTGGTAAATCAGCTGGATGGGGTAGGGCAGCACGGTTTCTTGTGAGTCAGGCCTTGGTAAATCAGCTGGATGGGGTAGGGCTTCAGGGTTTCTTGTGAGTCAGGCCTTGGTAAATCAGCTGGATGGGGTAGGGCAGCAGGGTTTCTTGTGAGTCAGGCCTTGGTAAATCAGCTGGATGGGGTAGGGCAGCACGGTTTCTTGTGAGTCAGGCCTTGGTAAATCAGCTGGATGGGGTAGGGCTTCAGGGTTTCTTGTGAGTCAGGCCTTGGTAAATCAGCTGGATGGGGTAGGGCTGCAGGGTTTCTTGTGAGTCAGGCCTTGGTAAATCAGCTGGATGGGGTAGGGCAGCAGGGTTTCTTGTGAGTCAGGCCTTGGTAAATCAGCTGGATGGGGTAGGGCAGCAGGGTTTCTTGTGAGTCAGGCCTTGGTAAATCAGCTGGATGGGGTAGGGCAGCAGGGTTTCTTGTGAGTCAGGCCTTGGTAAATCAGCTGGATGGGGTAGGGCAGCAGGTTTTCATGTGAGTCAGGCCTTGGTAAATCAGCCGGATGGGGTAGGGCTTCAGGGTTTCTTGTGAGTCAGGCCTTGGTAAATCAGCTGGATGGGGTAGGGCTTCAGGGTTTCTTGTGAGTCAGGCCTTGGTAAATCAGCTGGATGGGGTAGGGCAGCAGGGTTTCTTGTGAGTCAGGCCTTGGTAAATCAGCTGGATGGGGTAGGGCAGCAGGTTTTCATGTGAGTCAGGCCTTGGTAAATCAGCCGGATGGGGTAGGGCTTCAGGGTTTCTTGTGAGTCAGGCCTTGGTAAATCAGCTGGATGGGTAGGGCAGCGGGGTTTCTTGTGAGTCAGGCCTTGGTAAATCAGCTGGATGGGGTAGGGCAGCAGGGTTTCTTGTGAGTCAGGCCTTGGTAAATCAGCTGGATGGAGTAGGGCAGCAGGGTTTCTTGTGAATCAGGCCTTGGTAAATCAGCTGGATGGGGTAGGGCAGCAGGGTTTCTTGTGAGTCAGGCCTTGGTAAATCAGCTGGATGGGGTAGGGCTGCAGGGTTTCTTGTGAGTCAGGCCTTGGTAAATCAGCTGGATGGGGTAGGGCTTCAGGGTTTCTTGTGAGTCAGGCCTTGGTAAATCAGCTGGATGGGGTAGGGCAGCAGGGTTTCTTGTGAGTCAGGCCTTGGTAAATCAGCTGGATGGGGTAGGGCAGCAGGGTTTCTTGTGAGTCAGGCCTTGGTAAATCAGCTGGATGGGGTAGGGCAGCAGGGTTTCTTGTGAGTCAGGCCTTGGTAAATCAGCTGGATGGGGTAGGGCAGCAGGTTTTCATGTGAGTCAGGCCTTGGTAAATCAGCCGGATGGGGTAGGGCTTCAGGGTTTCTTGTGAGTCAGGCCTTGGTAAATCAGCTGGATGGGGTAGGGCAGCGGGGTTTCTTGTGAGTCAGGCCTTGGTAAATCAGCTGGATGGGGTAGGGCAGCAGGGTTTCTTGTGAGTCAGGCCTTGGTAAATCAGCTGGATGGGGTAGGGCAGCAGGGTTTCTTGTGAGTCAGGCCTTGGTAAATCAGCTGGATGGGGTAGGGCTTCAGGGTTTCTTGTGAGTCAGGCCTTGGTAAATCAGCTGGATGGGGTAGGGCTGCAGGGTTTCTTGTGAGTCAGGCCTTGGTAAATCAGCTGGATGGGGTAGGGCTTCAGGGTTTCTTGTGAGTCAGGCCTTGGTAAATCAGCTGGATGGGGTAGGGCAGCAGGGTTTCTTGTGAGTCAGGCCTTGGTAAATCAGCTGGATGGGGTAGGGCAGCAGGGTTTCTTGTGAGTCAGGCCTTGGTAAATCAGCTGGATGGGGTAGGGCAGCAGGGTTCCATGGCTGTGCTGCCAAGTAGCATTGTCATGCTTGTCGTCTAATCCAAGAACTTCAACTCGCTTTGAGCTTTGCTCATCCTTGCAGCATTCTCAGAGGTGGCGGCTTTGGACTTATCCAGTATTTAAACCCGACGGGTATTTCTTTCCCACTGTTACAATTTCAACAATCAAACTGATTCCTACTCTTCAAAAGGAGTAACCTCATCCACAGGGTGTCGCAGAAACTTTCCAGACTCACTAAGGCTATTGTCAGCCACTCGCAGTGATCTTGTGACAGAAAACTTTCCAGATTTGAAGTATCAATACCATGGTATGGTGATAACACTGATATCAAGGTTAAGGCATGGTGATAACAATGATATCAAGGTGACAGCATGGTGATACCACTGATATCAAGGCTATGGCATGGTGATAACACTGATTTCAAGGCTATGGCATGTTATAACATGATGATAAAACTGATATCAAGGCTATGGCATGGTGATAACACTAATATCAAGGCTATGGCATGGTGATAACACATATATCCAGGCTATGGCATGGTGATAACTCCATTATCCAGGCTATGGCATTGTGATAACACAGATATCAAGGCTATATGGCATGGTGATAACACTGATATCAAGGCTACGGCATGGTGATAAAACTGATATCAAGGCTATGGCATGGTGATAACAGATATCATGGCTATGGCATGGTGATAACAATGATATCAAGGCTAAGGCATGGTGATAACAATGATATCAAGGCTAAGGCATGGTGATAACAATGATATCAAGGCTAAGGCATGGTGATAACAATGATATCAAGGCTAAGGCATGGTGATAACACTGATATCAAGGCTACGGCATGGTGATAAAACTGATATCAAGGCTATGGCATGGTGATAACAGATATCAAGGCTATGGCATGGTGATAACAGATATCATGGCTTTGGCATGGTGATAACAATGATATCAAGGCTAAGGCATGGTGATAACAATGATATCAAGGCTAAGGCATGGTGATAACAATGATATCAAGGCTAAGGCATGGTGATAACAATGATATCAAGGCTAAGGCATGGTGATAACAATGATATCAAGGCTAAGGCATGGTGATAACAATGATATCAAGGCTAAGGCATGGTGATAACATTGTTCTCGTACCAGTGTGTAAAGGCTGGTCAAATCAGACTTCCATGTGCAATGCTCTACATGTGTGACATGTCCCCAAGTTGGTATGTTGCCATCATGTGATGCCAGTCTGCATAACTAAACTAGACTAACCATATCAATAACTGGCCCACTCCAGCTCTAGATCGGCCTCCCAACATGGCATTCACATAATGTTTGAAAAAAATACTAAAGTTTGCACAGTATTATTCCAAAAATAAAATGTGTGGAACACACATAACTAATTAATGCCATAAATCTTAACTAGTTAGACTTAATCTCTGTGCTATGTTTGCCACTGGTTGGGGTATGGTTATTTAAAGATGGCTGATATTGATCTTGATAATATACTCTTTATCATAGGCACATGTTGATGTATAATTAACAAATGATATAATGTACTGATGTCTAGAGTATATTCTTTTAAATAAATCCAAATAAATGTGTTTAATGCAAAATGAAGTTTGAACTAATAACATCCAAAAT